GAAGTTAGCGTACCCACTTATAATCGGCTATAACTTTTTTATTTTTTGAGAACTAACGAAAAAATTTGGGAACTATCGAGAACTAACGATGAACTAACGATTGGTATGATCAAAAGTGGATACGCTAATATGGGTACGCCAACTTCACGGACCTTCAGTTTAGTATTGTTGCAGGATTCTGTGGTCGATACTGTTACCTATATGGATAGAACCACAACATACTACTAATCTAATGTTATTATGCAAGTTAACCTCAAACATAATCTCCAAATCTATCATTCATTAATTTTTTGCTCCCAAAAAAATAATTAACAATTGAAAAAAGTATTGGTTTTGAGGCTTTTAAATATTTTAATGTCACAATATAGATAGTTGCAATAGCCTAGCTTTAATTTATTATCAACAGTCGTAATTTCGTTTCTTTTACTAGTATTTATTATAGCTGATAATAAGTGTTAAACAAGTAGTTTTTGTAACTTCGTGGTACAAAATGGCTGTAAAAACTTCAAAACAGCTTGAAACTAAACGTTTTTCTTTATTCTTATACTCAAAATGCAATAAGACAACTTATTTTTGCAATAAATTACTGAAGGATAAATAAAACTACCGCTTAAAGGCGCAAGAACAATAAGTTTATTTACAATAAATATTACACATTGTTGTTCTAATTACTATATTGAAGTGAAACATATTGTCAAGAATTGTAACATCAAATCTACTTCAACTTTATTGGGCAACTTGCAGTGGCGTAACCATAAAAACCCCACAGCCCCCTGATGCGAGCTGTGAAAAGGGGGCATCTATCGGGGGGGGGGGGGGTCTCGGAAATCTGATAAACTAAACCTAAGGGTCCTTAAACAAAGCGGGGTAAAATATTTTATTATTATTTCAAATAAATGCCCGTAAAGAATTATATTAATGCTGAAATAAGTTTTATTAAAGTAATAAATTAATTGAATTGCATTTATTGGACTAATTTAAAGATATTTAATTCCTCCTGACAAAACCTAAAAAAATGAATTTGGGGTCAAAATTGGTGAAACCCCGTCAAAGTCACGCCACTGTTGTTTCTATAAGCTTATAAATACATTTCTAGCTTTGGTTTTAAGTATCTATTTGGTAAATGCCATTACATACAAATTTTAATCTGTACAGAATATTAAGTAGCTATGGCACATTATTGACTAACTGGTATTGATAGATAATGTAACAAATCAATATTTGAAGCCTGCTCAAAACTGGCAAAAGCGATTGGTAAAGTATTCATAATGGTAAATCATATAGATAAACTAATACCTCTTAATAATATCATGTATTCATTTACATCATACGCATGATAAGTGAATATATGGTGGTTTTACTTCGATTGACAATTAAAACTGGATCTACTATGTACATAGTCATAATGACCGGTATTTCTTAATCCTAGGAGCATTTTATGGTAACGCTTTGGCATCGTTATTGGTAAACGTACGAAGACTATTTACAATACTTAAAATTAACTATATACAAGTGGAAACTATCCCTCCATTAATTTTCATTTACCGTAGAATGGCTTTTGATTAATTAATATTCATTAAACTCAGAATAGGAAACACAGCTAACACTTTGGAACTTTTATTGAAACCTGTTTATAAAAATTCTTCCTTCAATTTACGACATTATATATTAAATAAATTTCAGTTTACAAAGATTTTTATTCTTGAATATAATTAAAAACAGTTAACCAAATCTCAGTCAAACTAAAATGAGATATACATTCATAATTAGTTACGTTTCAGCTGAAAATATTGTAACGGTTTATACGCTGACTTGGTTCATCATTTTGTGCATTCAAAAAACGTATTTTGTATTTACAAACATAAAATAAACGTTACACACTATCAATGGAATATGACGTTTGTCTGTAATACAAATTGGTTTTTGTAAGGTAACCAGTTGTAAGGTAAGCAGTAGGAATGTAATTAATGTAGTGCGTTAAAAATACGGCTGAAAGAGTACGGTGGGGTCTTGGTCATAGAGACATTAAATATTGTATATTTCAGTTGTTAGCTGAGTAACTGTTGGATAATAATACTGTATGAATAACACTATGCATCTCTATGAAACAGATTAAATTTTAATAAAATTGGAAAGGACACTAAAAGTCAGCTTTTAAAGGTTAATAATCTTGTTTTTAAATCGTTTCAGGATCTATTTTTATGAAGTTATTATTTTTCAATGTACTTAATATACACTTTATTTTTTCCATTTTAGAATTAGGATTTGTAAGGAGATCTACATTCTACCTTCCCCACCTATAGGCCCCTGAATATGTGGTTTGATCTAGAAATAATTAGAACACAGATGAAACCATTGTTGTTCGATAGTGCAAAGTATTGTGAATAACATATCAAAAGTCTCCAAAAATATCTTTTGTGGAACACCACCATTTTTCCAAAATGGCGGCCAAATCCAGTAGTTTTTTGCTTTTTATTGAAATTCTGACTTTCCAGTCAATATTGGTGAAAAGTCGTCAATACATTTAATGTTCCTCCTGAAATTACCTTTAAAATGATACCAAATACATGTACCTACAACAAAAAATAAACCCCGTAGAAATAATAAAATATTTCAATTAAAAATGTCTGTTATAAATTAATGTAATAGTTCAAGCAAACTAAAAAAAACCAGACACAGGGATCGTATAAAAATTTTCAAGTAAACATGTTATGGTTTTATTTTTATTGTTGTAGTGTGCAGAGTGACATACCAAAAGTTGCAAAAATCAGTCCACAGGAAACCCCTAAATTAAGGAAAAAATGGCGGCTTTTCCCAATATTGGACAAATTTTGCAACAAAAGATACCAGATGTTTTTTTTGCACATATTTCGAGATATTGACTTGGAACCACGACTGATATTTATTGGATGGTCCGTACTTAATTTCAATAGGGAACGCTTTTTGGGCCGCCATCTTGGATCAGCCATATTGGATCTGCCATATGGGATATAAATATTTTTTTATGTAATTATAGTGTTGTGACACATCATTATGAACTAGATTTCCACGCTGATTTCAATGCTGAAATCCGTTTTTAAATAAGTTTTTTCGTTGCTTAAGATATATTAAAACGAAAACTCTCCCCTATACATCAGTTATGGACGTATCGAAAGTTACTTTGAAAATGTGTTTGGATTATTTTTCTCCAGGTATTATTATTGCTTGCAGTTCGTTCTAGCCTTAAAATATTCAGTGATAAAAGATCTTTCATTTTAGTTAGCTTTCATTTTGTTTTATTTATAGTTAAAACAGACTAGTTATAGACGAGGTACAAACTCCAACACAAAATTAAATAAAACTTTTTTATCTGTTTTTGTTAAAAGATTTATATCTCGGGTTGTTAATATGTTAACAAGTTCGTTCTGGTATCAAAGTACTCAGTAAATGTTTGGCTTTAATTTTATTGATTATTAAATAACACATGACAAATTTAAAACGAATCATGTAGGCCTACCTTCAATGAACTATTGAATGAATTATTGTTATTTTGAAATTTGTCTTTAGTTAAAGACATTTATCCCCAATTCTAAATAACACCCAATAAGGAATCCATAGCTAAAATAAAAGTCAATACTTGAACGAATAGCTATGATGAGTTTTTCCCGTTTTCACTCTGCACAACACTACAAAATAAAACCATAAAACGTTTTGTTGAAATTTTTTAAAGGCCATATCCTATATTTATCTAAATATAATTTCCAAGTTACACAGTTACAGTTATTTATAAGTACAGTTATTTATAAGTAAGTTAGTCATATGTACCATCAGTCAAACACCACTCCCAATCTGTTGGATCTGCTGGTGAACTATTTCCACGCCATACTTGAACCTGATAGTACAACCTTAGACTGTGGTAGTTTTCAATGTGTTTTTAAATTGTCAAAGTACAAAACGTCCATAAGAAATGTATGGGGGAGAGTTTTCGTTTTTATATATCTTAAAATCGTAAAACGCTATTTAAAAAATTGATTTCAGCATTGAAATCAGCGTGGAAATCTAGTTCATAAAGATGTGTCACAACACTATAATTACATTTTTTTTTTTTTTGTCCTAGGACACTAGGCACGAGCCTGGGATTGTTTTTCACATTACTTCAGGCTAGACCTAGGGGTTGCGGCATTATCACTTAGATAAAATCCATTGGTGACTTGGCGGGGATCGAACCCGGGACCTCAGGGACTGAAGTCCCGCGCTCTAACCACTACGCCAGCTCGCTCCCCATTATAATTACATAAAAAAATATTTATATCCAATATGGCAGATCCAAGATGGCGGCCCAAAAAGCGCCCCCTATTGAAATTAGGTACGGACTATCCAATAAATATCGGTCGTGGTTCCAAGTCAATATCTCGAAAAATGTGCAAAAAACATGTGGTATCTTTTGTTGCAAAATTTGTCCAATATTGGGAAAAGCCGCCATTTTTTTCCTTAATTTAGGGGTTTCCCGTGGACTGATTTTTGAAACTTTGGTATGACACTCTGCACACCACAACAATAAAAATAAAACCATAACATGTTTACTTGAAAATTTTTATACGATCCCCGTGTCTGGTTTTTTTTTTAGTTTGCTTGAACTATTACATTAATTTATAACAGAATTTTTTTATTTAAATATTTTATTATTTCTACGGGGTTTATTTTTTGTTGTAGGTACATGTATTTGGTATCATTTTAAAGGTAATTTCAGGAGGAACATTAAATGTATTGACGACTTTTCACCAATATTGACTGGAAAGTCAGAATTTCAATAAAAAGCAAAAAACTACTGGATTTGGCCGCCATTTTGGAAAAATGGTGGTGTTCCACCAAAGATATTTTTGGAGACTTTTGATATGTTATTCACAATACTTTTCACTATCAAACAACAATGGTTTCATCTGTGTTCTAATTATTTCTAGGTTTTGCTATTTATTTTCTTATTTTAAGGCGCCTACTACTAAGGACAAATTAATCTACCTAAATGTAGTTCATATTAAGTCATGATGTTTGTTGTTGTTGAAGGAACCGCTATTATTAGGTTAATGCTTCGGTTACGTTTCTTACAACTTTTAATTGAATAGGAAAATACGTAGTTTTACTGTAGCTCTTTCAGTTAGAAAACTGATGTATTAGAGACTCATAGGACAAAAACAGATTATAAAAACTAAATATAATTAATTTATAGAGCTTATCAGTAGTTACAGAATCAATGAACGTTTTTAATCCCACTGTTTAACGACTTTGACTTTTTCAGCCTGTACTTTTCGAACGCACTTTAACAGTCTAGGCTTGCTGGGAGGACGTCGGCGCGGGTGTGTGTGCCTGCGGGGGCGTAGGCGAGGAAGGGTCCTTGGTCCTGGCCAGAGCCTGTAGGGTGGACAGCGACGGCAGTTGCAGGCTGACAGGCAGGTGTAGCGCCGCGGCTGCCTGCTGCTGGAAGCTGGCTACCTGCTGGAGCGACTGGAGCAGCGCGGCGGAGTGTTCCTGAGCCTTGCGCCGCAGCTCGGCCACGCTGGAGGACCGCTGCTCGGCGCCCGCGGCGTGCTCTGGCAGAAGAGACAGCGGCTTCATCGGGCAGCAGGAGCACAGTCCGGGGAATCCTGCACACATGGATATTGTCAGGTACAATTTGAGCAACAAACAAAACTTTACAGTGATGGTCAATTTTTGCAGTTTGTGTCAATAAGTCTGAGTGACGACGACAATCACTATAGGTAGTCAAGTTTTTATTTTTAAATGACATTTTAACAGTTTAGGAAAAAAAAATTTCTAATTTTGAAAAAAAATTCCCCATTATTAGGTGCAGTATAAGAAACAGGGTACATATTTCAACATTGGGTCGCCTTTTCCAAAAATAATTTAACGATAAGCATTTTACTTGGTACTGTTATACGTATTACGGATAGCCTACAAAAAAAATGAACCTCCCAACATTTCTCGATATAGGCTTATGCATATTCCTACTTTTCCCCATAATCCAAGTACAGTACCTCAATCTTTAAGATGTATACATAACTAAATAGACCCAAAGTTTTCCGGACTATAAATGTAACTATGATTTCAAATACTTTTATCCGGAGAATTACAGTATAAAATGCATTTAAAACGCATCACAATGAAATTGGATAACAAACACCGTTTTTACAAATTAAATTTCTCACCCGGGACGACTCTAATGGCGAAAACACTCTAAAAACAAATTTATTGCATTTCAATCCATTAAGGGGGATTTGTTGTTGCTTTTAACGAATAAATAAATGTACGTACGATTAAATGTGCACGGTGTTTTAAATATTCACTCGCACTTTTCGAGATAATGTATTTTTAATAAGCAATCATGCGAGGAAATTATCGCCGATTTGCCAGACGAAATTCAATTTAACTGCGCGTCTATCCAAGTATTATTGCTCATTAAATAAATGGATTACAATGAACAGTTTTCGAGGTGGGTTAAATGAATTAATGAATTGTGTTTCCGATGGTATCGATCGGTTTTGTAGATATTGTGGTTTGTTTTTGTATGTATTTTGAGTGTTGTGGTTATAGAATCGTCGGGGGGGGGGGAGGATTGTGTTATAATTATTTATAGGTAATTTTAGTCATTGGGATCTTAGTATGGTCCCAGTCTTAGTATTGGTCTTAGTATGGTCACATGGGATGAACCCTTCGGAAGTGTTTGTAAAGTTTTAACGTTTTAAAGTTAAGTAAAAAGGTGGATTTTCTTTTTCAAACATCTACGAATAACTAAACCAATGCTGATGCTGGTAAGTAATATTCATACCTAGACTAATAAAGATATTTCCTCCAATCAAAATTAATATATTACTATATTACAAATTGTTTAGGTCACGTTATTTGTTGTTTAATACAATGGTTTACTAAACTATAGAATCTTCTCTAAACGGTCCTTGACAACTACTATATAATCAATTTAGTGCAAAATAGATCTACCTATAAGACTTGTTTAATAATAATCAATCTATTGTTTAAAGAAGGAGTAAGGTGGTTGTAGTTTCTACGTCGTTTAACATGGCACAAATGATAGATCAGTTAATTTATTCAATTTTTAGTCACACCCGATGCGTAATGTACCGTTGTAAATCTCCAAATTTAACAAAACCAGGTTACTAAAAACAGCTGATTTCTCACTCACTAACAATGTAACATTTTTAGTACAATTTACGAAAATGTATTAACTTAAAACAAAAATAAAACCAACAAACACAATTTCATCACTCAAACTACTTTTAATCACTCCAAGTTACCAAGAACTGTAATTGGTCTAAAATAAATAACACCCAATTAATTACCACGACTAATTGCTTAGGAAAGTTGTATAATTACTTCTCCACCTCTCAGGGACAGGGTGGTAGGGAGGGGGATTATTAGAGGAAACGCAAAGTTGATAACGCCCATATATCTCAATATGCCCAGTTACCGGCAAAGTAGGCATTACGGAACTAACACTTAATTTTCATCACCGCTACGTCTTGCTCGGCGGACGCGATTAATTTCAATAAACGTCTCCAAGAAAAAACGACACGCATAATTCGGTTTTCGTAAGGGGTTCATTCGATAAATCTAGACACAGGTGTGCCAACGTGATGTGTTATGCGGCTTAACTTGGTTAGCCATGTTTTGTGTTGATTTTATATTGGTGTTTTGAAGTTTTAGTTTTTGTTTTATCGTTGTTGGTGGCCATATCAAAAGTAGGCTTGAAATAAGCTAACAATTGAAAAGCGTATCTTTGTTTATAATTTTAAGTTTAAATGGCTTGTAAGATATAAAGTCAATGCTTGTATCAAACCTACGTGATTTCCATTAGAGAAAAATAATGCTCGCCTAAGCTTCTTTGGGAAATACTCTATTAAAATCAGCATAATTTGAAAGTAATTTATGCGCTATTATTTTGCTTTTAAAAGGCTTAACATTTAACTTTTTACACTAATACCCATACTTACCGTACATATTAAACAAATTAAAAATAATATTACCCATAAATAATGTCCACAACAAATGTCAGATTTTCCTAAATATCATTAATTTGCAACCCTAGAATGTATAAAAAATGTTGATAAAGAATTTCAAATTCAGTTGACTACTTTCCTCTACATTGTTGTTGAGACATCTTCATACCAAGAACCAGTTGTGTCCCTATCTACCATATGTTTAGGGGTTAGGTAATTATTAACAAGACTACAAGATCGCGCCACCCATCCTACATTCATCTCCATTCATACTTGGCTTACCTACTTTGTGTGGCCATTTCATTGAAAAGTACCTATTTAAAGTATTGATACCTTTTAACAAAATATCGTCGTTGAATTTAGAGCTGAGAATTACGTAAAAAATATGTACGTAAACACACAAACTAAATAATTGACAATCTTCATTCAAAACAACATTTGGTACGATGAATTCCAAATGGATGCAAGGTTTGTTATTTGTTTACGTACCTTTGAGCGAAGGGAACAGCGGTGGCGGAAACTGAGGCGGGAAAAACAACGGAGGGTTGTGTCTGTGGGCGGATCCTCCCTCTCCTACAGGGCGAAAACTGCCGGACCTGGACACACAAGGATACAATCAGAACTTGGTCACGGATATAGGCATAGTGGCAAGTGTATAAATGTATGAGTGAATAAAAAGTGCTCTTGACGTTTCGGGTTCTGGAAGCTGATCCCGTCTTCAGATGAGATTGTACGTACACAAAGCTAGCCGAAGCTGAAAACACAAAAAAAATAACCTCAAAGAGGACTTGTCTCGGGTCAAAACAAGAAACTATTTGAATGGAAACAAACAGTTGGTGCAAGTACAGGGAAGAACACAACGGTAAAGTTTGCAAAAGATTGTGGCAATGATCTCGAAAAGAACTAAAACTTACCATGAGCAAAATTGATCTTCAAACTGAGAAATGTTAATGATATGTTTACCTAATGTTCTTAAATCCATATACATGAAAAAGTTGTGAAACAGTTTTTTTCCCAAATATTCGACAAAAGATATTCTTTAACGTGTGTCGCGTGTCAAAATGTGTATTTTAAACCCTTAACTGCTTCAAATATTGTTTATCAATAATTCAAAGTTTTGTGTAAAGACCTTTAAAATGCGGAGGTAATAAGATAGATTGCAATTTTTAACACAGTGATGGTATGCACGCACTCACATCAAACATACCTAAAACCTGGTAAATTTGATCCAAAACGTTAGCAAATAAATATAGTTCATTTTTTACTTTGTATATACATTACATTTATAGTATAAATTTGCTCTAGACACAAACCCACATCAGATCTGACACGGGAGTGAAAGTCTTGCCCCATCATTTCACATGAGGTCGTAGAGATATTGGAATGAAGCCTAGGCAGGAAACACGGCTGGAGCGCTGGTCATAAATCAGGTAAAGAATTGCATTTGGATCCGACTAATACATCGTATTTTCTTATTTCGAGTGGGAGGGGAGCGACCGCCCTAAATCCCACTTGAAGACGAGTTTACCAAATGTACTTTGACAACCGAGGTAGAAGCACATACGCCACAGAAAATGCATTAGCCTCCCCCCTCCCCACCTGCCCACTCCCGGTGTAAGTACAAAAATGAAATCTTTTAAAATGGTTTACATAATTCCAGATCCCGATGGAAAGGCGCTTAACCCCCCCCCCCCCCCGAGCTGTCTCCTTGCACCATCTTCCATCATTTATTTACTCCGTTTTTAAACCCCTTTGGATTTGTTTGTTTTTAATATTTCAGACTCGTCAGGCCAACTGCATTATTATAATGGAAACATTACTTATAGAGTAGTTGATTTTCGAATAATCCCGACAAATTCCATTCCTCTTATTTACTTTTCTTTGTTACCTTTCCATCAAGGATTGGATTTGCTTGGAAATGTTTTCTCTCTATCCCTCTTACGTTTCAGTATTAACTTGACAAAAATAAATAACCTGATTCGTAAGTAATAACTTAAGATTGGAATAATATAATTTTGAATGTAAATTTTTAACTCGATCTTATTCTTAAGGAAAAACTTTCAACCTAATCATGTAGCCGTTACTTTCCTAATTTACTCGAAAAACGAAAGTATTTCAACATATTGTAAGTGATCGCTTTGAACAGACGTGGTTCAAAAAGCTTTACCATTCCAACCAATATATGAAAATTCTCGCATACTTCCACAAAACAAAACGTGCCTCATTTGATAAAACATACAATATACAATATCCATCACCTTTTACCCTAAACTAGAAAAATACCACGAATTAATCAACAAAGTGGTCCGCCAAACTTATCAGGTACTCAAAATAATGAGCTTAAAATCCTTCTGATGCGAGGAGGAGCGATCTCATTGAATGATTCAACACAAGCGAATGTCCAAGTACGGCTTTCAACGTGACACGTTGTCACCGCTGAACACACGGGGGGTCACCACTGTGGGGGGGGGGTACAGGGGGGTGCTGAAAGATTCACCCTCTCGGATAACACCGTAGCCAATTGAATTACACGTTTTTTAAAGATGCAAACAAGCTCCCGTCCCCCCTACGTGTCAATTATTCATCAATAGTTAATATTTGATGACGCCCCGGTAAAGAAGCCGCCATGAGGGTAATTATGTCATCGGCACAGCTGATGTAATGGGGGAAACATTACGGGGGAGGGGGTTGCGTCGTAGAAGCGGTTAATGTAATGTGGAGTAAAGCTGGAAGAATCAGCTGGTTTGGATGGGGAGGATTAGAATCCTTTTTTATGTGTCTTGAAGCCAGTAAGAAGTTTTTAAAAATCCTTATTTTTATATTTTAACACAGATTCATGGCTAATATTTTCATTTACAAATATTGTTTTCTTTTAAAATGGGGTTGCTACATACAATCAACTAATGAATGCAGATATAAATTTGAAAATTAGAAAAGTCCATCAAAGATATGACCAAATTAGTTGGTTATTTTAATACATCTATCTTGAAATATTTAAGATATTCACTTTGCTTAACTTTTTTGTAAGATCACTCATAAAAGTGTAAGACCTACACATTCCTGTTCAGAGATGTTTTTACCAAATGTAATCAATGGTTGTACCATACCTGTTACATAATATGTGCAGTGTCTATAATTTGAGTTAATTAAATACTAACCACTATATCAACTATACAATTTCTAATCTTAAATCTATTATAACAGTGGTAAATTTATTTTGAAAATATTTGGATAGTATTGATATTATTTCGTACATTATTATTCAGAATCATCGGTCTAAATACCTATTATACATAGGGACATTGGCCATTTAATAATTTCGAATAGTAAACCAATGCAGTTTTTGGCTTAACGTATTTATCTTGGTCATTACTCTCATTACATACATGCTACGTTTAATACACGACCAAGTTGGCCAACATTTCATTACCTGTCAAGTTTGTTGTGGCAGCCCTGAATTTACGGCGCGACAGTGGGAGGGAGAGGGAGGGATAAATATTTGATGGAAGCAAGATGGCGGCTCCAAGTGGCGGCAATGGAATCAATTAGACAAAAGATAAGAGCAATTAGTGCGAGCAATCCAATAAGACCAAACACGAGGTGAGGTGAGAACCAGTTAAAGATAACGAGGTTAGGACAGGCGAACCATCTTGTGACGTCAGTGTAGCCGGTACTGCCAACCTGAGCGCGCTGAATACTAGCGTTGTACTGTATATGGTGATAAATGTGTAATAGATGTGAATGATTTTTCAATTATTGATTTTTTCAAACGGATTCAATTCCCGGATAAATTAAGGTTTATCCAAAATTGTTAGTTAAAAAACTAACAACATTGTTCTTGAAAATTACAAAAAAATACAGCCAAAAACAAGCGAAGTAAGTGTATGCACAGAATTCTTTTGAATGATACGCTCTTTTAAGATTAGAATTTTTGATGGCCTCAAATATTGTTATTATATTTCCGTATCACAATATCAGACATCGGTATCATTAACTGTAATGAGCTTAAAAAATAGTGAGCAATTGTTATTCATAAAAGTGTTTAGTAATACAATTAAACTTAATAAACTATGTATAATTATTATATGAACACATGAAATCAAGTAAACAATACCCGTTGCTTATTCAATAAAATGTAAAAAACTCCAAACTGTTTTTAATTATTTTTTACTGATCAAGAATAAAAGTCATGTTCCTATATTATATTGTAGTTTATCTTTTAATATTATCTAGTCAATGATATTATCTATACATTAATGCTCTCCAAAAATGTAACCAACCACGTTCACTATATCTAACCGCTGCAAGGTGGGTCAGAACTCCAGTGGAAGATAATAACTATCATAAAATACCGAAATATTACATAGAACTAAGATTCTCTTATTACACTTCAAAAATGTTTCCCGTATGCACGGCGCAGGATAGGCAATTCAGGTGCAGCGTCAGTCTAGCCGCCGTCGGCGTGCAGGCGCACTCGACTAGAATTATTATTGTATTTACTCAATGTAAAATAATCATGCTATACTTTTTAGTTAAGATTAGCGACAATCTCAACAGAGTGTGTGCACTTCAAGGCGGAAATTTGAGGATCTGAAAAAATCATAATCCGCACATCTTTTAACCGCATACTTGAATGAAAGAAATATCAGTTTTTCGATAAATCCTCTCCTAAGTGCAATATTTGTTCACATTTAAAATAATAAAGATGCATCAGCTGTTAGATTTGTTTTAGTTTTAGTTAGTTTGTTTACTTTTCCTTGGGTTAACCTTTTGATTCCACCAATAATTTCTATACTGCATCAAGAGAAGTAACAGTACGTTTTTCTTCTAATGTGCGATAGTGTTCAAACATTTGAATTATGTTTCAATTTTTTACTTATTAGTTCATCATTATATATTTTAAGAACAGCAATTGATGTTGTAGGCAAATTTTGTGTATATAATTGAGTGGCATAAGAACACTAGAGTTCGGACGAAGCCTTATGAGTTCCAACTGGTAAAAAACGCTGTAGAGTATTTTTTCTTGTGAAGTGGACATTGATAAAACTAATTTACACAAAGAAAAAGCGCTTAATCAATCGACAGTTTGTTTCGGTGAAGAATCACCATATATTCTCTGAGTTTCCCTTCCCATGGCAAGGCACGGACAGAACAACCAGTAAGTATAGAATTATTGTGATACCAGTTAATAAGTGGCGCTTCCCAGACTAGATCAGCTGCTGGTTCCTCAGCCAGGGTTATAAAACCCAAAGGTCAACGTCTCAAATCAACACCACCAACTTTAACTGTCGAGCGTAAAAGTGTATTTAATTTGCAATCCAAAATCATGTACGGCAATTAAACCTAATCTGTTTGAATTAATAAACACAATCGCGAGTTTCTTATGACAAAGTTGGTGTTGTGCGGTTTCTCAACCCTCCCCGTCTTTTCTAATCCTCATTTAATTACAATGTTAGCCACAAGCAATCCCGGAGTGATCAGCTAACGGGAGATTACGGAGATTTGCTTACCTTAACTCTCTCTCCTTAGCCTCCTTAGCTGCAATTAGACAGTCTGTTTGCTTGGGTATTACCGATGGATTACTCCTTAGGTTGGC